GAGTCCAGTAGTGGATGAAATCGGCTACTTTGCCCTAAAAACAAACGCATTCTCTCGCGTGAATGAATTTAAAAATGGCGGCGTTTGGTGGATAATTCCTCCGGTTTACAATTTGTCCATCTTTACTAGTTGTTATTTAAAGACATTTCAGTTTCAGATAACTTTGTAATTTTTGTTATGGATAACCATCGCCATTTCAACCGATTTCGGCTGGGAAACTACTTATTAAAAGTTATTTTTAACTTGCGCACCAATTACGGTGCGCTCCCGGACTTTGTCTATGGAGGTACGCAGGGCTGTGGTGGGGACATCTATCAACCAAACGCGTATCCGTACACACAGCACTGTACACAGGGCTAGGCCCCCTCCCTGTCCATGTTTTAATTGCCACTCCTGAATCAAACAGATTGTGAAGATAATCTGGCCGGAAATCTGGCACGGTGTAGAGGGGTGTAGGTTATAACACTGCAGCTAATCTTTCCCTGATTACTTAGTATGTATTACTCCACGGTATAATTGTATAAAACGATCCATTTATATGAAATTGTATATCTACGTGTATTTACTGCAACTGTTACTCCAGACAAACCCCCACGTGTTGCCAGTACACCAAAGAACTCGGTCAAACAATATATATCAACTCATCCACAGAGAAGTTTGAGGGACAGGGTCTATGCTGATGGGTATATAATCTTTTCCAAAAATCCTGCCAAAAAACTACACTTCTGTCTTGCACGTAAACAGCCTTATACTGAAAATTAAATACTCACTTGCTCTTCAAGGGCGCCGCCATCTTGTGACCTCGTTGTCGTTCTTGTGTGCTTAACCCATAACCTCGGCCGAACTTATTTTTAAAGAGGTGTGAACGATTTATATAAAGTCTTCTCAATAAATGATAACGAGAACACAGAATACAAAGTGGCAACCATTAAAAGTATTGTTTAAATTAATAATTGTAATAAATATTAACAATTGTCGTGTTTATTTAAACAATATATATCATTCAAGGCTTTTATACGTTTCTGTGTGCTATACTTCATCACCCTCCCTCATATGTGGTACAACCCATTTTTTTTTTTTAATTTTCCCAGTTTTCTCACTCGTCGATTGGACGAGAGTGGGTCATCATCTTCTGGCGCAGAAAAATGTAGGACAGTGCTATCGAATGTGTATATATCGTGATTGTATGCGAACACAGTGCAACCGGAGCACGGATCTGTCTCGCAGACGACTCTCCTGGCTGGAAAGCAAGAAAGCTTCGATGACATTACATTGACTTCGCATACTGCCAGTACATCCGAACGCGGGCTCACACGCATACAGGTGAAGTTCAGCGTCAAACGCGCAATAAATAACTGTTATGTTCAACTTTGTCTGAAAGGCTTACCGTCCAAAGATTCAAGCTGTCTCAATTGAAGCGAAACTCCAAGAGGCAGCGGTACCAGCCGCCAGCTAGTACCATCATGCGATCCCGTATATCTGCCCACGAAGCAGGTAAAAAAAGTTTTGTTATTCACAAATTTTTACATAAATATTAGTAAATTTGTTTTCTGTTTTTTTAAAGCCGATTTCCATGCGATAAAACACCTTTTTGTTATCCTTAGTTATCCAACAAGCTGATTTAAACAAGCTTTTTTTTCTTTATTAAACTTTTTGACGATATGTCTATATACATGAACATTTTGGTTTCTTGAATTATTGAATAATACCCGATAATATTGTTCTTTCTTTATTGTCAAAATGCTAAAAAAAATGAAACAAATGCAGTGCAGGTCAAGAGAATTCACATATTATGCATGAGCTACAACCTGATGATGTTGTTGCTAGGATACGGCATATAATGTTTGAATATGGTTGTGTGTGGTGCTTATACACCAACCATGCAAGACACACATAAAGTGTCATTTTTTTTTATTTGCACTATGAAGATTCTGATTTACAAATATGTATATATATATTATGAAGTTTATATACTTCATGCCCTGGGAATATGAATAGAGGCTTTTAAATCTAAAGTCAGATGACAGGTTTGTTAATCATTTCATTTTTAATTAATGATACACATGCAACTGTATGGTCTTAATAGCCTTCTCTTATAATTGCCCATATTTAGCAATGTGTGAGGGCGCTGTAACCGAACTATGTATATACAATGTATATGGGTGTGGACAAATCGGTGATATCTATACCTACCGCAAAGATTACAGAAAATAACAAAAAAATGGGCTTATAAAGCCCAGAACACTGGGTACTTTGGTTTAACCTATTGAACAATATATAATTTTTGCACATCTTGTTTTTTTCTATAATTTCTTTGTTAATTTTTGACCATATGGAGTATTTAACTTTCTGGCATTGACTGTAGGTCTACATCAATATTTTCAAAAGAATTTAGAAAACATTGTGTGTTGATTTTGTGAAAGGTTACAAAAGTCGTCTACAGAACAGTTCATAATTGATGGTTATTTTTGCGATTAAAATAATGTTGTCACATTTATCATGAAATGTTGCCATCCTTAAATCGCACATGTTTGTACAATATCACATTTTCAGATTTTTATCTAGTGATTTTTTTGAGATAAGCAGTATAAAAAAAAAAATTCTAAACCATTTATCCTAGTTCTCTATTTTTCAAGTAATTTTCAGGGATTTCACAAATGCATTTAATAGCAGGCCATCATCCTGTAACAACAGGCCAACAAAAATTAAAAGGCTCCCAGCAGTGTGGCCGGCGTAGGCGACCGGCTTTTAACAAAACCCCTGAATTTTCTATAAGCGATAAATACCCCGAAAAGTCACCATCCATGACGATATGTGACAGCAAGCATGTCACAACATGTACATTTCATGTTTATATTGAAATAAATTAATGGCAACCTCAATATTATTAAATTATGTGTTGTTTTATGAATATGCATGTGTTACATATAAAATAATTATACTTATAATAGTGAATATTACATTTTTAGAAAAGAAACAATGAATAAATAAAATTTTTCAATTATGATCAAATATGATGATTAAATCCTAGAATGAACTCTGTTAGCATTTAAAATATTAATGAGATTTTATTGATTTTTATGATTGCTTTGTCTAAAAAATTAACAGGTGGGAAAACATCATAAGGGAGATTTTGATTTGTTTTTCAATTGCATATAACCCATATACTGTGTATGAATGCCATACTCAATGCACACACATGTATAACAGCCATCGTCGATGTAATCGTAAATACTGGGCGTGACGAAAATTATTACTTATATTAACCATACGCCTCTGTCATTTACGCAAGCACATTCGCTTCTAATAGAGGAAATCGTGAAAGAAGTAATCAGAAATCCATCAATATCTCTCAGCTTCTGTGATCAATTACTAACTATAAGTGTAACTATATACAGTGCAGGTGATATTGCCATGTTTAAATCTGGGATGTAAAATAAATGTTGCGATTATAAACCTCCGCTTTAGTATAAACTAAATTTGGAATCACTAAGTGGCACATGATCTGTGTGTCTCAGGGAGTTCTAATACAGTCTGAATAATTGTAATTTGGTACATTATGTACATGGGTGTGACGAATACAGGAAAGTGTTTACATTTACTAGGCGTTAGAGGTAGTACATAAATAACACAGTAATCATTTTTTTAAGAAATTTATGATTCTGGTCATCATTCATCTATTAAACCTTCTTAGATGAAATTAAAAATTTTTTTTTTTTTTTATAAAAAACACGAAATAAATGTTTTTAAAACAATTCTAAAACTTTACACCCACATTGATTTTGCAGACAAGCAAAATGCAGATGTTTTTCTTAAAATAATGAAGCTTGACCTTGCCCTCTCCAAATTTTTGAAAATTACATTATTCAATAGAAATACATAATTATATAAATACGCTATATAAATACCAATCTAATCCATGAGAGAACCAATGTTTTTTCTATGCAATGTCAGTTTAAGTATTTTATACTTTTTTTTTTTTCTATTTTGTCCTATTAATGTTTTACTTTTATTTTAATAGTTAGTTTTATTATTTTAGTTTTTTATTATTTGTTATTTTTACCATACTAAACCCTTTGATGGTTTTGGTTGTGTACTAAAGTTGTTATTATTAAGTTATTATTGATTTTGGAAAACAGAGTGATTAAAAACGTATTCTTTCTTCTGGGCATTCAGATATATTTAAAGTATTAAAGTTTAACAAGACACAGGAAACAAAATTAAAAATAAGATGTATATTAATTTTTCGCAATGAAAATATTTCGAAAGATTCAAACCTGTATCCTAAGTGAAACTAACAATTGTCAGTGTTAAGGGTCATGGTTTAAAATAAATGGAAAAATAAATGTACTTTCAGTGCTATAGTATCGGGATACATCATTGAAAATGTCTCTCCTCTTTGGTGTTGTCAGTGTCTCCGGCGTAAACTTTTATCTTGTGGTTTCTACAGTTTTTATCTGATCTTTTTCAAACTTTGGACAAGTTCTATGTATATTTTTCAAGATAATCAATAAATTTCATTTACAATTGTCTTCTTTTGTGGTTACGATAACTCAAGTTATTTTTATCTGGTCATCTTCAAATCGTACTGGAATCAATCTCTATGAAATGTCAACCAGGTTCAATTTTTGTATAATTTTCATGAAATGGGGGTTAATTAAATTGTACTGAAATAAAACATATTTTAGATGTAGAAATAAGTACACAGAACATTCAACTGTTAATAATGAGAACCAGATGTTAGTAATATGATTTCCAAGATCTGTCAATCAAATAAGTGTAGTAAAGTGATTTGTTACGGGTATAAATAAAAATATGACAAATGCAGGATTTCCCACCTTTTTCAAATCAGGTTACTATTTTATTTTATTTTATTTTTCGAACTTCTCTTTGTAAGTCCAATTGCTATGATATTCAGTATATAGATACGTCAGGTTAACCTAACTCAGCTTTGTTAATTTTATGATATATCTCAAAATCTCTAATTTTGATGGTAATAAATTATATTTTTGACTTCTTCACAAAAATGGCTATCCCAATTTACTTCATTATTTTATATCCTATCACTTTGGGTGGATCTTAGTCAGATTTGTTCATTTTGTGATGATACCTTCAATTCTCTAAATTTTAACCAATATTTCTATCAATTTCAATTTTGCAACTTCTTATTGAAAATAGCTTTTAGAATTACCTTGATATTCTATATGCAGGCACCTTGGGTTTACCACACTATCCTAATTGTTTTGATATTTTATGTGTTGGTACCTTAGATGGATCACTGTCAAAATGATTTGATTTCTTCCTCTATCAGATTAATTTATTTTGTGTCGTTAACTAAAATGTGCTCATTTTAGTTAATTATCAGTATTCCAAATGGCTAGACTGCTTGATTTGATATTCCTTTCTTATTATGAGTCTGAAACAAGATATTTATATTAGCTGACAGGCTTATTGTTTAGGAACTTTTATACAATTCATGTTATATTATTCTATAAGGAACATTAAGAGTAATACAGTACATGTAATATTAATTGAGCTACCCGGTAGTATTTTTCCCTCCAAAATTTTGCTTAGTTATATTACTGTACTTAATATTTTAGGACCTTTTATACATTTCTATGTTTTACATGTTTCCATGTTTCTGTGAGAGACATTGAGATTAATACAGTACATGAAGTATTATTTGAGTAACATGAATATTTTTTATGTGATTTTCCAACTTTTCCCACTTAAACTTCAGCCAGGAATTTCCTCTCAAAATGCCTAGATATACTATTGCATTGTTTCTCTCCT